TTTCGTTAGTAGAAGCATTCGTAAGTAGAGGTACCACTGTACTTTTGGCCTCAGAGGAAGGCAATGGCAAACCTTCTATGAACAAATCTTGCCAAGAAAACACCATGATAGTTACTATGTTGGAAATAACTTGAAGGCATGCAACAACAACAACAACAAGAATGTTCTCTACTGCTTCCCTGAGTCAAGACAACACTGCCTTTCTTCATCTTTGGCCTCCATATTCTGAGGACTTCCTCAAAACCAAGTTTAAAGGATGCAATAGCAGCCAAGCATCTTTCCAACTGGTTCTCCTGAAAGAAGAGGAGAGAATTCTCCAGCAGTATTCGAAGCCACATCCTGAGCAGCTTCAGTTACTGACATTTTCCATGCTTCGCCATATTCTTCAGAAAAAAATGCTTGGGGCAAACCCTGTCTTTCGTGGAAATGTGGTGTGACTGTCTCCTTCACTTCTTGCCTGTCTTTCTGCCAATCTCCACACAAAGAGGTTAATAAATGTTTACTTCACCCCTCCCCATGGGCCCACTCCCTCCCCCCCAGGTTTCCATATGGCTTGTTCACAGGCTTGTGCTTGTTTGTGTCTGAATGCTCACTTGCATAGATTGGTGCGAAGGAATTGTTCTACTCATGCTGACCATCTTCAAATCAATGCAGGCTCGTAACAAGAGAAAGTGCCTCAGATGTAGTGGTTTCCACAGAACTATTGTTAGCCTTTTGTTAGGCATTTTTGAACCTAATAAATAATGTCAAAAGTCTCTATCCTGGCCAAAAATGTTCCTTTTCAAATCCTTCTAGTAGCATTTTTGTTCAGTGATGGCTTCCAGGGTTGCAAAGAATTTGCACTTTACAATGGTAATTTGATGTATCGCGTGCCATGTTGCAGTTTGCATTCTTTTTTTTTAAATAGAGAAATGGTGAAGTTTTCTTCCTTCAGTGACCACCTCCTCATATTTTATACCTTTTGAAAGATTTTTATTACAAAGTTCCCTGCAAGGAGTAAATATTTCAAGTGAAATTAAAATATTGTGTTCAAGAGCTGAAAAAGAGATTTTAGGTTTTCCCCTCCAAATATTAATTAGAGTATGGAGCCCCTTGTAACATTTGGTTTTCCCCCTTTTCTTTTAGCAACTGTGATGTAAACTCATTGTGAATACTAATTAATCAGAAGTGGATTTTTCCCTCTATAAACTTTAATTTAAATTAAGGGTAGGAAATTACACTAGCGGCTCACACAGCCCTCCCCCAAATCTGGAACAGCCATATCTCCTTTGTACTCCCCATCTCACAAAAACATTTGTAAAGAATATTTTTGGCTCTTCTCTTCCCCCCACTGGTGATATTTAGGGTCCATGCTATAATAGCTGCTGGTGTGTTTTAGGTCAGAAGTCTTTTTCTCAACCAGGAAGTTACCAAAAGTAATTTCTAGACTGGTAAAAAGCTTTCACTTAACATAAAGCTAGCCAGAAGGCTACAAAATCCACCCCATGGCTCCTGGTGGCTACAGAGAGCCTTTTCTATTTGCCCACCCCTGATTTAAAATGTTAATTTTCCTATTTTGCTATACAAATCTATTTGCTTAATGACAGCATCAACTGTTTTATATATCTCCTAAATTTTTTAAAATATTTTTTAAAATATTTTTCTGTGAAACATACTTATGTATGAGTCAGGTTTTTCAAAATTGGATGTCTCAGAGATCCCAGAGCCTTTGATGCAAATTTGGAGACCCATTGGCAAACTTCCTCAAAACCAAGTTTAAAGGATGCAATAGCAGCCAGGCATCTTTCCAACTGGTTCTCCTGCTTCCCTCACCCCAGAAAATTGCTGGTTTGGGTCCACATTCCATGGAATTTGGTATGAAACAATTTCTTTTGGCATGTAAGAGCTAGCAGTCAGATTGTGTTTCATTCTAATCATAAGCAAAATCACCAACATCAATCCAAGTAGTGCTGGTTTTTTGATTGTTTATAGTTTAGCTTAGTTTATTTGGTTTGATTTTTTTTCTCCCTTTTCACTTCTTTGCTAGTCCAGAATTCAGCCGCTTTACTGGTTGATAGGATATGACTAGTCTTGTTCCATCTTCTTCATCTGGAAATTGCTAATTTCAATATGTCCAAAGTCTCCTTTTCTCCATTTTCAGCTATGGCTAACACAGGAGAGATAGGCAGAATATATGCTGCACTCTTTCTTTCTCTCTTAATATTTTTATCATTTTCAAACCAAAAATTTACACACTTGAAATATTACATAATTAACTAATTAATAATTGGTTTCAAGTAATTACTTCTTACCTGCTGTAAATTGGTGCTACATAACATAATCTGGCTTTCCTTTCCATCAGCTTTTTTTTTACTCTTTACTTATTTACTGAATTTTTTGTCAGGCAGCTTATTCCTCTACCACAATGGTTCTACAATTGTGAACACAAATAACAGTACATTTCTATTAATTTTCTGTTTGACTACCAGTTAATTCTCTTAATCAATTTTACTTTACATATTACATTATGTTTTACATTGCATTGTTAGTTTATTATTCTTGTTATTCTCTAAAGTCAAGGCCCCTTATAAACATTATTTAAAGTACTTTAAGTGAAATAATGATACTTAAAATTTGGTTGAGTGTACAGTTGTCCCTCCACATTTGTGGCTTTGACTTTTGTGGATTTGATTATTCATGGATTTTATTAATGTGTTCCCTCTAGGAATATCTAGGTCCTCCAGCGCAACTCTATGGTCAACTTTAACCAAAATCACACAGAAAGACCTAGAGATTCCTAGAGACAACATTCCACTTGTAGCTCATCCTGCGCAAATCTATGGGCAATGTCTGGCAGATGCTGACCACAGAGTTGCACTGAAGGACTAGAGATTCCTAGAGAAGTGTTGTCTCAGGTAAAAACACAGTGTTTTTGTTATTTGCGGGTTTTCTACATTCATGGGGGTCCTGTGCCTCTAACCCCAGCAAATGTGGAGGGATGAGTGTATCTTGCTCCATCTTTGATTTATTTAAACAATTAAAGTTTCTTTCTTTAAAGTTTATGTTCTCTTTCAAAGAGCTGGACAAAGTTCTAAAGAATTTATTTACCGTAGGTTCACCTAAAGCCTTTTGTGCCCCCAATGCAGAATCCATTGATGTCATCTCATAGATTGCTTTTGAGCCTTTTTCCAGCTTAAAAACAAAGGTCAAGGTCATTTTTGATGTAAGTTGAACACTCCACAATATTTACACTGGTGTGGTGGTGGTGGTGATGGCACTGAGGGAAGGTGATGATAGTTAGCCAGGCAAGAGAAGAAAGAAGCCATTCTTGTGTCTCCTCACACTCACCTGGGCACTAAGGCTGTGGGATATAGGGCCTTTACAGATTGTCAGAAATAGTGCAAATTGAGGCCACTTTAACTGTCCTGGCTCAGTGCTAAGGAATCATGGGAACTGTAGTTTATTGTGGCATCAGAGCTCTCTGGCAGAGAAGGCTTAATGTCCCAGAAAAAAAAATACAATTCCCATGATTCCCTAGCACTGAGCCAGGACAGTTAAAGTTGCCTCAATTTGCACTATTTCTGGCAGTCTGTAAAGGCATATAGTTGCATACTGTTAATGTTCAGCTACTTTGTCCAAATGCATGCTGTAATGATTTGAGCATTGGACTATGACTGGAGGTCAGGGTTCAATTCCCCACTCGGCCATGGAAACCCAGTTGGTGATCTTGGGTGAGTCACACACACTCTGACCCAGAAAAACCTGTGATAGGTTTGCCTTAGGGCAGGGGTAGGCAACCTTTCCCCTTTAAGGGCCGAGGGACTTCAGCTCCCAGAAGCCTCAGCCATGTTGGCCAATAGTCCCATGTTGGCCAATAGCTCCTGGGATTCTGGGAGCTGAAGTCCCTCGGTCCTTAAAGGGGAAAGGTTGCCTACCCCTGCCTTAGGGTTTCCATAAGTTGGAAATGACTTGAAGACACACAACAACAACATTGTCCAACTGCAGTTGCACAGCTGTGGGTGGGGAACTGTTGCAAAAGGAGGTACTAGGTATCTCCTTGCACAATTTCTAGTAGAGAACCTCTACTTGCATAATTCACCAAGAAGGTTCCAACCAAACATCAACATGCTTATGTCTAGACCAGAGATAGGCAACCTTTCCCCTTTAAGGGCCAAGGGACTTCAGCTCCCAGAAGCCTCATCCATGTTGGCCAATAGTCCCATGTTGGCCAATAGCTCCTGGGATTCTGAGAGCTGAAGTCCCTCGGCCCTTAAAGGGGAAAGGTTGCCTACCCCTGATCTAGACTATCTGAAAGACCATATCTCCCTTTACAAACCAGCTGCTATCTTAAGATCCTATGAGGAGGGCTTTCTCTTGGTCGCACTGCTGTCATGGGCTCATTTGTAAAAACAGAGAAAATCCTTTCATTGATTCTTCTCCTATCTCCAGCAGGGGGAAAAAAAACATTTTTTCAAGCAGGTTTTTACAAAATAAATGCTTGCAAGAAGTCTTCTTAGGAGCTTGTGTGCACTTTATTTTTTAACATTTTCTGCTTTTGAATGATTTTATATAAAACTATAGTTTTAATATGATGATTTTTAAATGGGCTGATATTCTAGATCAGCAACTTACTTAAGTATACTTAACTATTACTTCACTAAGTAGCATCTGCTGGCCTGATGCCCACCCATTCTGTCTTACTGGTCAGCACCCACTGTGAGTGACTGAAGTCTATTCTTCTGTTGGCTGAGATGAATCAGACCAATGCTGCCAATTCTACCACAAGCTATCTCTGGTGTGACAATCAGAAGCAGGATCCCTATTGAAATTCCTCCTCGCACCAGA